TTGAACTAACGTACCTGCTATGGTCGTGTGTCTTGTGCAGTGGGCTTGGTTAAAACTGAAGTGGTGTCACACTTACGCACCAAATACTCCCTGTACTGTGTGGACTCCGCGGGTGCGCGCGACAAAGTTCAACACAGCGAGCCTCGGTTTCGATGCAGATATGCGCAGACGGTGCTGATGTGAAATCCCTCTATTCAACATGCTGAAAGGGGGGCAGAAACTTTGGAAGCCAAGGAGCCTGTTCCATATAACAGCATTGTTATATTTCAAATTTTTGTCAAATATCTTCATAAGCCCAATCATTTATGAATGATTTAGATTGCAATACATATATTGCACAAATCTCTTTTTCCTAACCTAGGCACCAAAGCGAGAGTACGTCAATTATAAGGAATACATGGCCATGCAAAAAAAGAAGAAAGAAGAGGAGAGACATCAACGAGAGATTGTGAGTCAACCCTCCTGACTGGAATGTTCAAGTAGCATACTATATCAGGGTTCTCGCCACATACAAACTTGCGTATCGGGCCCGATATGCAATTATTTCTGCCCGATACGCAAAAAACGGGCCGATACCCATTTTTTCATCCCAGATACGCACAATATTATAATGACAGTATGGCTAAGAATTTTCAAAATGCAGATTGCATGTCTGGAAAATCTAGATGAAAAAACAGTTTAGTGCTGCATTTTTCCATGTACTGTACATGCATTGTGCACAACGTGTCGGCGGCCACACTGTACTGCACACCGTACATGTACATCGGCACCGAACTTTCCTTGTGGCCGGTGTTGCATGAAATCTGAACTTCCGTCATGGGCGTCATACATGCACCCACGCCCAGGTGTGTTTTCTCTGTGCCATGTGCTCAATACTCTTCTGGGGCTGCTTTTACGAAGGGTACAATTACAACTGAATGGAGCTCATGGTTTCAGGTCTGATCAGCAAAACGAAAAGGTTGAAGCATGTATTAAAATTAAAACTGAATAAACAGGTGTTTTTATCGTTGATTAAACAGCCACTACATGTTGTTGCATGTCTGAAACTTGAAATGACTCCTTTTGTGCCCACAGGCCTAATTAGTAGTTCAGAAAGGAAAACTGGTCATTTGTTAAAAATACTAATATCCAAAATTTAAAACAAATATTGCATTTGTTATGTTTTTTCCTGAGAAAAGATACTTGAAAAAACGTGGAAATGCTCTAAAATGCAGCTGAGAGCATCTAAAGTCTCAAAATTTTCGGGGCCCTTGAGCGGGGTCCGAACCCCACACCATGGCTTCACAAAATGTTGGTAAACCACAATGGAAAACCCCCACAGTTTTGAAAAATCCTGGGGAGAACCCTGCTATTTGTTATCCCAATAACCCTGTAAGAGCTGGGGTTTGATACCATCTTAAAATTACCCTCAGAGCAGCCACACCCACAAAGTAAGACTTTTTGTCACCAGCTACTTTTTCACTGGGTGAGTTTCCGGTGCCTGAACCTATACGACTGTTTCATGGTAGCTTATCATCTCTCAGATCCCCTCTCTATCTGCATTTCATTATGTGGCTGAGGAAGTACAGTAATACCAGTCACAACCCAAACAGCCCTGACGAGTCTGCACAAGTCTGTAAACAACAAGACCCAGTTCCTGGTAGCAACCATAGGGGCTCTTTGGGGTGACTGATCTTTCAAGACTCCTTACTCGGCAGTGGTTGGGATCTGGCCAATGGGAATCTACAGGCCTGTGGTGTATGCCTGGGGTGAGGATTACATGGGATCTTTGCCCAGTTGGCCCATGGGAAAAAAGTTATGACCAAACTTGGTGCTTTGGTGAAATTTCATTACTGTTCCGTTGACCCCAGGGAATTTTAAAGCACAGGAAGGCCAAGATCTTGGCTGTCCAACAGGCCTGATCTTTCTTGGATCTTGGCATGGCATGCTTTGCAGGAACAAACAATGCAGTGAGATGACATCAGAAGAAATGTCAAAGAATCGGACAGATCCCCCACTGCATCCTTCAGGGTCAAGCCCCTCCAAAACAGCCCCAGTACTCGGTTTAGGTGATTCAGCAAGTTATAAATGCCCTAATAAGTATTAAGTATATGCCAGTAGGACAGGCAGTGTAGCCAGTAGGACAGGTAGTGTCATGTTTTGACTCATGGATTGCTGAGAGTATTAAAGGCACACCAGCCTGGGATAAACTCTTCATCATATATGAATGTCCCATTCTTTGGATTGCTAAATCCATATGGAACCCCGTCAGTCCTCACTGTTAAATTTGGTCAGAGTTTGCAAGGAAGCAAGGTTAATTACAACTGGTATTTGGATTTTGTCGGCCAACATATTTTGTGGTGTCACAACTTCCTCCCTCCTGTCATTTTATCAAAGTCTTTAATCCCTTGGTGATTAGAAGCTCCTCAAGACGCACAAATACCAGTGTTAATTTCTGATATCTCACATTTATTAGGACCGCAAAATGGGACTCAAAGTCTCCAAGAAGCCAACCACTGAAAAGACAAGAGTCAGGTAAGAGTGAATTGTCAGAGGGGGTCAAGGGTTATTTGAAACTTTTTCCCTTGAATTCAATTTAATGACACTTAAATTAAGATGGAAAGCTTGCGGTAAGCACCATGCAATATCTCTTTTGAGTCTGTGTGGTTCTGATAAGAACCGGAGAGGCTCAATGTTTTGGACAGTGTGCTCTGTCCGTCGTCAGGAGGCTGAAGAGATGCCGACAGGGAGTGGGGCTTATATGCTGGTTGGAGGTACTGGAGTGTGACGGATCCTGCTGTGTGGTCAGGACACTTAAATTCTTTCCTTCTTTCAGAAATTTACAGTAGCCTGCACCAGTCTTCATCCCTAGTTGTCAAATTGTTCTTCAAATACTCGCTTTACTGTTATTTTGTTTAGCATAAGGTCATCCTTAACCCTAACCCTCCTCAATCCTTCACCTGTTGGAGGACTGAGTAGTGTTAGGGTTAATATTAACAAGGAATGATATGACTTTTACAGTTCTAAGACTGTAGCAATGGATACCCTAATGTGATGCACAAGCTCTGTAACCTAAGGCTATTGTGCCTACTGCACCCCCCCCTCGGAAATCTGAAAGGAATTCCAAAGATTCTAAAAGAAGACACAATGGAGGGGGTCCCCTTTGCCGCATATCGTCCATCATATGTAGCAATGCGGTGTTACCCTTCATTTTTCAGGAATCAAGGTTTCTGGAGGGACCCTAGCCAGGATAAGAAGTTTTTCCTGGATGGACAGGTGGGGCGTTACAAGCAAGGTGTGCAGGTGGTGGGTAAAGATGACATAGCGAGGGTCAAGACTACGTCCAAGAAGGGCAACAGGCCAGGCAGTACCAGGAAGATCAAATTATGAACAGCTTTGTCCGTAGCTGTGAAACTCTCAGGGTCTTAGCTTCATATTGATAACATGAACCCCAGTGGGAACTGTGTTGCTCAGTGACAGCGGGGTTGTTCCAAACCTTGACTCACATTTTAGCTTCAGCTTCATGAATTCAGTCCTGGGAAACAGAAAGATGACATTGTCCTATGGAAAGTGAAGATTGGAGGTTTTTTCATTTGGTACTGAACGGTGTGGAAATAATTCCAGAGCAGTGAGGTAAAGCCGAATCCACAGTGAAAACCAAGATTTATGAAATGGCAAAGGGCATGCAAAGAAACATAACTTTTGTTGGTTTTAACATCCACTGCTTGTGTGGCCATCTTCGAGAATGTGTTGTAAAGGCAGATTCTAACTGAATAAGAGAAAATTATGCTGGTTTCCAGTCCCTCTGCCCGTATTATAAAATGATTCTCAACATTGAACGAAAAGTGAAAACCAGTCTACAGGTGAAGGCTCTTTTATATCTTAATTTGGTGTGATACATGTACACCTAAGCCTTGCTTTATCCATTATGTGAGTGCCTTAAACTGTTGCACCTACATGGACAGTGTATGTTCAACAAGAACTTGAAATGTACAATCCTGTTACTGGACATCTCTGATATTTAATTAAACTGGAGCCTGTGGAACTCTTGTCAGTGCGCAGGATTTCATATATCTTAATATTAAACTTTGATCGTATAGAATGGGAAATACCAGCCATTGCAAGGGATGGAACGGATGGTTTGTTAACAATGACCATTTCCACGGTGTAAATTGTACAAATAATGGCCAATTTCTTAAAACAAAATTGTTCAGCTTAGCACAATGCTTGGATTCATTTTGAAATAAATGACCATTTGTACACGTAACTGGCATTCCACCGAAGTGTCAGATTTTGTTGGGTCATGTACATGTACAGACCTTTTCCCAGTGATGTTGCGATCATGCTGCACCTACAATGTGTTGTGATGGTAATCTTCCTACTCAAGATAAATTAGTCAAGCATGCAGTGTTTGCACATGCACATGGTTAAAGCTGCCCAGAGGAATATATGCGATCACTGTGGCCAAGGTTTTCCACGAGTGGGAGTATTGTTTACATTTAGTCACATCGGTGAAAAAGGTCTATGAATGACTGCTCTCTGATTTGTTCAGTGCAGATATTTTTGATCAAATTTAAATTTGTCAGATACTTTGGAAAGAGGGGGGCTGGACTGGACACAAACAGGGGGGAGGACTCAATCTTATGCATAATTGTAGGCTTACCTGCCTTCAAGATCAAGATAGCGCATTTAACTTTTGTAATATTTCCATTCTTCAGTTCAATTTAATTTGAAAATATTTTGGGTGTTTGAGTTCAAATACACCTCAAAATCACCTGGAAATCTTTAACCATAACCTTCTAGGGTGTATGTAAAATCACATTGAAATCAGAGGATTGGGGACTGTTGGGTTTAATGCTATATCTCACCACACCAAAAAAATGGCGGTGAACAGAGGGCACACCCCAAGCCATATATGAAGCAAGATATGAGATGGAGAGAACCCCCTTACTTTGTGTTGGTCATTGTTTCACTGGAATCTGAGGAATTCTTTTCAGACATCTAGGGGGGAAGTGTTAGGTAGTAACAATAGTCTAGAGTTTGTATAGGGATTGGACACGTTGGCGGGTACCCCTTGGTCTCGTTTCTTGCTGGATGTACCAAACCAGGTCATTAGATGGGGGGATATATCCTCCCCACCACTCTGATGGAATATACACCAATGTGTGTGTATGAAAAAAACTGAACGCTGGAAATAATTGAGGAAAAAAGACCATGATAGGAAGTCAAAACTTCACACATTTCAAAAACATGTACATGTAAGGCTGAGAGAAATGCCTTTTTGCTAAAGTGGCCAGCCAAACATTACATCACACCAATTACATGTACATTGGTGATCAGGTTTATTAAAAATGCTTCGATACAGTTACACAAAGATACAATTATATACAAATATTTCAGTTATTAATTCAGGAGTATTTATAAGTAGTCAACTCTTGAATACCAATTACACTTCACGTTTAATTCATGTAACAATCTCAAACTCTGAAGAACTTCCCTGATCTCCCAACCTTTCAGGGAATGCAGGTAAAGATTAAATGACAGAATACTTTTTTAATATATATCTTTGGTACTCACACACTTTTGCAAACAACTCATGGTGAACAAAACTAATTACATGTACAAATATCAATTGCTAAAAAGGTGCAAAACTATGTATGGATTGAAATAGTTTGAAAGCAAAAGACACCTTTGGTTCCCCTTTTTCTTGTGCGGTCTTTAAATGGTTGATCCTCATAAAGTGCTGAAGGATACTGAAGGACAGACAATTTTTTGAATGAAGATTAGAAGCAAAAGCTGTTGTTACCTGTCACCACAAACTGAGCTTTAAGTCAGGGTTTTCAAAAATGGAGATATTGGTATTTCTGAATTCAACAGAAAGAGAACTTTCCAGTGGTATGTACATGGAACACTCAGAGTAAAAGTACAAGTTGACAATGTGGCATTATTCTGGCAGCTCTGTGTCTCTGTTCCCAACAATGTATCAACACTCCAGACCAGGCATGAATAATTCTATCATCAAAAGTGCTCAGAAAATGACATCTTTAAATAAATGATCCTACGAAATATTTGAAATTAAATAGAAGACGGGTTACTCTTTCCAAATATTACAAACCCCAAAATTGACCACTGCTTCAATATCTGACTGCGAACCTTCAAAATAGGAAAGAGCAGGATGCAACTTTACTCTCATTTTGTCGTACGGGTCATACATGTATATATTAACATGAGCATTGTATTTCCCCCCACATGTAAAAACACCAACAGGTCTGTGCATAACGACTGTAGCCATTAGCTAGTTGGTTTCATGGATGCTTATTACTTTCTGTTTCAACTGAAGAGAGACATTGTTCTCAGTACAATATCGATGCTCACCATGCTACACTACATGCTGAGGCTAATAAGCCATTTGCGATTTAAATTTGAATTAAAACTGGTACACTGAGTTATCTGATTGTAAATAAACATAATAATTTGAATTCCCTAGACTAAAGACTCTGTTGCCATACCTTGTGATTTGGGGCAAGCTTTTGCATAGCGACCACCATCTCTGGAATGGACTGGTTCCTTTGTGCCATTCTTATCCATTGAGAACAGTGTATTGTTGCTATGGGCTCTCAAATGGTTTTGGTGCTTGTTTTTTGTTTTATTATTTAGATTTTTTGAATAAGAAGATCCTGTTTGCTCGTAATTGTTTGTTTTTGTTAAAATTAATTTTGGCCCTTTTGGCCGCCCATATGTTGCAAGGCGTCTCTTATGTAACTAAGAAAAAGCTTGCCTCGAATCACGAGGTATAACAGCAGTGGTTTTAGTGGAGAATTCAAGTTGTTATGTTCACGTGAATTTAATGAACTCAGTGTACCAGATTTAGGTCAAAAGGCTTATTGTGTTGACACTGCTAAGCAGTGTAAAAGTCACAATAGCTGCACCGGAAATACAATGTGCTTCACAGTGACAGCTTGCAGTCTCTTCAACGCCAATTGAAATGTTTATTGCTGCACCATACAAGCCCTCCTTGTAAGCAAATTTTGTCCAGCATTTAACATGTCTTCTACTTTGTCTAGTTTGACAGAGATTCTGTTAGAATGCACGCTTGAGCCCCAAACATTGGCAGTCAGGTTGGTGCAGTGGTATTTTCTTTACCTTACAACTGTGAGACCCAGGTTCAAATCCCACCCAAGCCCACATGTGGATTGAGTTTTCAATTCCAACCTGATTTATTCCAGGGATTTCTTCCCATCTCTGCGACTCTGTACATATTCTCATCCTCTTTCTCTTAGTCTCGGCAACCCTGAGGAAGAATTCCATGTGGACATCACTCATATCGCCCTCCAGTGACAACAGCCATCAGAAAGCAATGGATGTCCATAAAAATAACTAAAGCAGGGAAAGTATTGAAGCATTTACTTCCAGAACTCTTATAATCTATGAAGCCCATCTATCAGGGTTTGTGCAGGGGCGTCAAGTGATGTCCAGGTATGGAACTCTTTCCTCGTCTTCTTCTAAAGAACCCTCAGTTCCATCGAAAGAAAGGATTAAAAATAAAACATTCCTATAACCATCACTGCTCTCAGAGGAGCAAAATGCTCGAGCTGCCATTTCAGTGGCAGACAGCTATGGCATTCCATCACAATCGCCAACCCTTGTATCACAGGTTATCATCTTCATCCTGGGTGGGTAGAAGCAATTAGTGTTAAAGTTCATCGCATGGGACTCGTGACACGTCTTAACTCATACGCTAGATATATTGACATCCACGCTGCAGACCACGACACCACACCGCTCCAAAAGTTACAGTTCTCCAAAACACTCTCAAGGTAGAAAGAGAATGATCACACAACTTTTGTCCTGAGTACTAAGCACCCTAGCACTCCAGCCCACAGCAACCTGACATCAAGTTCTATCACGGCACTCCGGCCTATCGTGAATGGATAGAAGAAATCATTGGGAAGCTTGTCCTCAAATCCAGGATCTTCAGCAAGGATGGGTGTGGGGAGTGTTGACGCATCGATGAATGCTACTGAAGAAGTCACTTCAAAGTTCTGGAGGAGAGTACCAGCCCCAGTTTGGCAGTAGGCACCAGAGCACTGCAGAGATAAACCACACGGTATTTATGACCTGTTGATTGACCAGCAATAGCCAGCAATGACCACCTATTGGCATGTAAAATTATTTTGTCTGAGGACTTCACCCCTTGGATGACTTCACCATGTATTTTAAGTATTCCGTCAGCAAACTTTTGTCTTAAGTTTTCCAGTTTTAAACCAACTAGAATATGGTGATTACTCCACATTAAGCTGTCTGTGCCTGAGTTAATTCCTTGAGAACTGTTTTGGAACGATGCATTTGTCCCCTGCCATAAATCCGTCCAGGTGTAATTTTGGCAACTCTGTTAGTTTTAGCCTGGCCAAAAAAGTAGCCGGTGAAAGGTTAGCAAATGGATATTACACTCAATGTTGTTCAGCACTGCTTTTCTCTCAGCAGGAGGTTGTGGGTTCGAGTCCCACCCAAGTAAGCTTGTGAATTTTTTCGCAAGTTCTCGCACAAGCACCGAGCATACAGTGATTGTCAATATATACGTTGGGTAAGGGCAAAACCCCTTATATAAATTTACATCTCCCCAACGCAAAAATACATCTTGAAATGCTTTTCTCTCATTACCACTGTCCCTAAATGGCCTGTAGACCAGCCAGTAACTGGCCATCATTGGCGGGTGATCTAATTATGCAAGAGTACGTTAAGTGTGGGTGGTGACTCTGTGTATGTTCCTCCCGTTATAATCTACATTAACAAGTAGTTCTGGTTTGTGGATTAACCATCAAATTGGTAGTACATGTAGTTGTCTGGTGGACTGGCCACCAAAGGCCAATAGTTGGCCACTTAAATGGTTTTACCCCAGCTTATGGTTAAAGACTCACCGTATAGCTGAGCGTTCCCTCAGCATAGTTGTACCTCACACCGAGTATTTTGGCCTGTGGGTTGACCAATGATCCCACGTTGCCATAAATGACCTCAATATGTAAAGCCATCACCATATTGTTGCATGTTCCTTCCACAGAACTCTGCAAACAAAAATGCAAAAAATATCACTCTAACACACAAGCCAGTAACTCCTCGTGAATACTTTTTTGACCAACTATGGAAGCCAACATCAAGGTTGGAGTGATGACCTTGTTCACTCACCGATGGAGAGCCTGTGGGCTGCACATCGAGTACTGGAATCCAGTCTCCCACATTTTCAACGTCCGAATTGCCAAATGTGGCCACATAGCCACGTGTGACGCCTTTTAGAGCACTGAGGGCCACAGCTTGAATCACTCCACACTTGTCGGCTGTGTCGCTGAATGTTACGCTGAGGGAAGAGAGGCAAACCAAGTTTACGGCATTTCTACAAGTGTCTTACTTGCCTGGATGAACAAAAGTCAATTTTATAATTAGTGACATTGTTTTTACACGCAGATTTACTATTCAACAAGCCCATTTCACATCAATGATTAACATACTTAACATCAGTTACGTTAATGGGCAATTCCACAAATTAGGGGTCCATTTTCTTTCGTGTCCCTGTCACATCTGACATATGAGTTGTAAGTTCAGCACACATTTTCTAATTTCCAAGAATGATGAATTAATGCAAATTACCTGCCAAACAAATACTAATAGTTTGAAATCAATTCCAGCGATATTTCCATGTCAAATAATAAGGTCAAATGTAACAAGAACACAAAAATCTCAAACTTTTGGACCCCTAATTTCTGGAATTACCCTAATCTTTATTTTCGGCCGCAACATGCAATTATAGTTCTAAAAACACTTGAAAACTATTCGGTCAAATGGCATACAAACCTAAGGTGCATTCCTCTTACGTTGAAATGTTGCAGGTTTGTGCAAACTCAACTGAAAACCCATCACATGACTTTTGTGCCATACACATTCAAATTTCAGTGTAAACGTGCAATGATTCTGTCAATGGCTCTTATGAGTTGGCCACACAGTGTTAAAGTTCCTTCATATCTAATGAAGGGCCTCATGGCTGAGAAAAAACAAAAACTGCAGGACACCATTGTACGCCTTGATAGCTCAGTGGGTAGTGCACTAGTGCAATAATTCACTGGTCTCAGGTTCAACTTCAGGTCTTCCCCTCTGTAACAAGGTTGAGATTTCGTGAACCGGTGGGTAATAGGATGCACCTTTAAGTTCCAAGAAAAGTGTAGTGGTCAATGAGTCAAACACCAGATGTTCATCAAGGCCAGTTGACCCATTGATAAAACTTGGCTCGTTACTTGTAATGTGGGGGTGGGGGCCAGTGCACCTGCAACTTGTCCTTTTTTCATGGAATAATATTTTTTTTTAACAGAGGGGGATGGAATTTTTATAAGAAATTGATATTAGTCATGGGTTTACGTCATTTGGTTTTATTCTGACTGGTCACTGGAATTAGTCATTAATTTCGAGCAGGGTAATGTAACTGTACTGCATATTTTACTTACATGTATGACTTATATTCAGTAATGTTCATATCGTAGATTTGTAGAGTATAAAAACCTACAAGTGAGTCGAGAGATTGAGTTGGAACTTTGCGAGCAGAGAGCTAAAGTCTGATGAGATGCTTTGAGCCAGTGAAGTGTTTGTGTTGAGAAAATTGTTTTGTGAAGTATTTTGCAGCGGTGAAATACTTGTTAGCAAACAGGTGGATTTTCCTCACCAGCTCCTTGTTTGCCCGTGAGGAGCTTTGCATGAGGCCAAATTTTTAAAATAGAAGAAGCTTGTACTCCTGACCAACTTTTATTTGTCAACGAACACTTCTTCCGAGTCTGCATTGTCTGTGCACTTGGGCCAGGACGATTACTCCAAGTTCGGTTTCTGAGACTCGTAATTCCATGCTACTAAAAACATCTCACGACAAGTTAAGAAGTTGAGATTGTTACACCCTCAATAAAATGTTTCCAAACTCACCAGAGCCATTAATCTCAAGGATCTCAAGGATGTTTAATAGTAAAATATTTCTATTGCATAGTCCCTTTAACTACAAGACAATCTACCACTGTAAAGAAAGCCAATGTCACATTCTTCGCTCTGAAATTTTAAAACCACACCAAGCCCCATGTAAAGTCACACTGGCTTAGTCCTAACCTCCTTAATCACATAAAATCCTTCAAAATATTGTAGGTTTTGGAGGATGTGTGAATATTGGAATTGCAAAAATACACCAGTGACAAATTTACCTGATCATACAGCCAGTCCTAAGATCCTCTCCAAAGTTGACTGGTGTCCTGTTGTCAGGATTAGTCTCACAGGATCCATCAGCTGTGCTCTTCACAACAGTCAGCCAGCTGTCACGATTGCTGCTTAACTCAATGTAATTCCTACAGAAGGGTGACAGCAGCCTATCAGACTTTTGTGCCCAGTTTGGAAGGGATAGGGTACTAGGGGGTTTCTGTCTGTTTACTTGTCGCTGCTACATGCATCTTGTGCTAATGTTGAACATTTTAAACAGGCACACTTTGGTCCCTTCGTGATGCTCTGGGTCTCGCTAGAAAAAAAAATTTTAAAACTTCTAACATCTGAACATATCTTCACTTGATAATCCCACAGGTGTCTTCACGCTTACAAGATACAGTGCCACAGGTGCTTTTGAGCAAATCTTAGTTGCATTTTCACAAAATACCTATCTTCAAAGTGAATTAGAAGAATATTCCGGTGACTGAATTTTGACAAGGCTGTGCCAATAAGTTTTCAATGTCCTACCTTGTTTGTCCATCAATATCCTGAGATTCCAGGTTTCCAGCTAGTATGGGCATCCCAGGCATATAGCCTGGGTTACCGCTTCTTAAAAACGTTTCCGCTTCATCTGCCTGAAATGAACAAAGTCATTTCATTATCATACAATACTCACTCCAAGTTTTAAGAACCGTACAACTGACTCCTAAGCAACATTCCCGGACAATAATTCAGTGCACAAATCTATTCATGGTTTGAGGGTGGAAAGTCGGTACTACAAAGCCCCCCAAGGTATAAGAAATTCTTAGGTAAGCCAGGTTAAGCGCTACTATACATGTGCATATATATCCTGGAATTAAACAGCAGGAACAACAGCTGACTTGATGATGAATGTACCAGTTAGGATTCAGCTTCCAGTCATGAATATACATGATAACATGTGCTATTGCTTGCATGTGCAATATCAAGGGCATCAAAGACTGGTCCAGATCTACTACAAAAAGTGATGAGCCCAACTGCAAATAGCTGCCCAATTGCAATCCAAGAGCAAGCAATCCACTCATATCCTTTGCCATATACGAGGGCTTTGAGACACATAATGCAGGATTCCAGCCATTGTCAAAGCCACAAAAGGGCAAATATTTTAATTCCAAAGCAAACGGTAAAGAAATTTGTATGTGCCAGTGGCGCAGTACACGTAATAACAAAGTAAGTGGCTGCAAACATATGCAGTTACATGTGGTAGACTTTTGTCAATTTTGACTTTTGTCCAATTTGCCAGCCACAACCCTGTAATATCAGAGTTTGAGCTGTCACTGAATTTGTTCGTTGAATGATCAAAGACAAACTTGGCGTGCACCAGACACAAATACAGTAAACTGCAATACCCTCATCTATGAGTCCCTTGCAATACGCCGAGAGATAAACAGTCAATGTTATCTAGAGCAAAATAGCAGAGGGAATGCATTGAATGCTAGTTTACCCATATATAAAGGGTTTTTGAATAACAAAAGAAGTTTCGTCTGAAAAGCAGATAGCACAGCTCTGATATGGGAACACTGTGTTCACATCTGAATCATTTCAAGGAATAAACATTCTGGGTCATGTCTCACCTTCATAAATTCCACTGAAAATTTCTGTCCAAAGCGCAGGTTGTTGGGGCTCAGTGTAATGTTACCGAGTACTAGTCGAACATCCACTGCCTCAATGGCTCCTGAGCTGTTGTGTGTTATATTGTAGGCCACCTACAATAAGTCAGCACATGTCCACATATATGACATTAATGCAGCAAAATATGTTACAAGTGCGTGGATCTACTGGTACGTTGGACATCTACATGTATCAGGCATACAACTTGGACCTTGACAAAACACAAGGAAATTCCAATCTTTACAAGACTTTGCAGAGTGTTTTTTCAATTTGAGTGTGAATGAGTATGAAGTGAAAAATGAGGAAATCGGCTGGTCCGAGGAAAAGTTGCATGCCTGAAATATGCAGGCCCCAAAGCTCATCTAACACAGTGGACATCATTGGGAACTGTCAACTGTTTTATGAACATGTGTCCATATTAATCTGAATGTCAAACTAAACAGCACACCAATACACTGGGATAAGTACAAGTACATGCATGCTCCTTTCACAAGCTTTCAACACGTGATCATCTCTGTTTGGGATCCCTGCTTATTTAGTCCTACAGAGCCTGAAAAACATCTATATGCCATGTATGCTATGGTTGGTCTGGTAACCCCAACCCCCCCCACACCACGAATTTGTGAAAAGCGATACTAAAGTTGGAGGACTGACTCTGAAGACTGTTGAAGTAAACAAATTCATTAATAAATACACCAGTGTTGATAATAAGAGCAAAACCCACCTCCAACAGAATGTTACTACACTGAGTATCATAGGATGGGGTAGGAACCACACCAGGCTCTAGCCCACAGCTTGTCTGCTGTCCAGCTTCATCCTGACACAACACTGGTTCTTGAAGGGTCACCTCAATCAGGGACCCATTGATGTAGAAATTGTAGAATTCCTCGGTGTCATTCAAGGCTGGTTGCTGATCGACAAGATATCTTGGCGTCTGTACAGAAAATACATGTATACTTAATGGATACCAAGTGAACTATACCTTCAGCGGAGAAAATATTACACACTGGCCCTGATAGCAGATTTGGAAATATTTGCTTTCCTGTACAACCATTGCTATAGGCTGCATTCCAACACATCTGTGCACATTCTGATGAAAATTAGTTATTACATTACAGCATATACATACTGTCCTTGACCCTCATGAGCCAGCCAAAACCTTGTCCTTGCATGGTGTTCATTAAACAGTTCATAGAAACATTCATTAAAGAGGGCCTAAATAAATATCCAATAAAATATCTACGGATTCGTCTATATCAAAACCAAGATTAAACTAAACGGCAAGCATCTGGCTTTGTAGTTTGAACCCCAACTGCTTACCGGTGAAAGTTTGAAACCACTGAAGTATGTCAGTGCTGACAAGTAGGGTGTAGTCTCGCATTCACTTGCTAAATCTGTCAGCAGACGATCACAGATGCTCTGCTGATCAAAGCGGAATGATGCTGGGTTGCTGTCATCACATAGACTGCTGTAACCAGCCTTAGGTAAGCCCAGGGATCCTAGGGCAAGGCTCTCATAGACTGTGTACATCAAGTCTCCTGCCTGTAACAAAAAGGGGTAACTTCATGAAAATAAGTTTTCCACCAACGATCATGGCAACACTCCCACCTGATGATCAAGGCTGCAAGTGTGTCATGTGTTTTTACGCGAAATTCCGGGTACACAGGAAGAGTTAACACAGATGCATGGTGTCAGTAAGCCATTAGCAAAAAAGGCCTGCATCAAATTTATCTCATGACGTTATGCCAAAAGTGACCACTCGCACCTCAAGCAATGAGGTGTGAGTGTCTACTCTGTGGCCGTGTTTGTTTCACATGGATCCAGATCACAATCAGTGATCTGTCTTTGGTTTATGGACACCAAATATTGCCTAATAGATGGTGTGAATCAACGTCAGGATCACTAATCAAGATCCAGATCCATGTGAAACAAACAGGCCCTAGGTGTACAGTAGGTGGTCAGGTGACCACTCACACCTCAACCAATGAGACATTCTGTGTACACAGTAGGTGGTCATCTGACCACTCACACCTCAAGCCCTGCGACACTCTGTGTGAACAGTTGGTAGTCATGTGACCACTCACAACATCATGCAATGAAACACACCCTATTCACACTTTTTCATCTGAATAAGCACAAACCCTTGGATATGAGCATAGGCTAACAATGGCATCCAGTTGACTGGACAAGTAATTGTGGGAACTAAGCTTGGCCTGAGAAGTAAAACACTACATCTGACACAGTGCTCCAAAGGTAACCTGTCTGCAGGCTTTGTTGTGCAGTTTTAGCCTGTACAAGTCCCACAATACAATACATCATTGCACTATGGGATACGAGATTGCAAAGTGGAGAACCAGACCAGCTGTACGTATAAAAATTATACTGCTTCCTTTGAACCAACATTTATCAAATGTAAGCCAAAATAATGCAAATCAAAAACCACTAAAAAAGTAAATGGAAGTTCTATGTAGATGTAAATGTTATATAAATGTTATCGCTAATTGTTACTCACCGTATAAAATTCTCCGTAAGTTGCATTGGTTTCATCCGGAGGGGCAAAAGAGGATGAGCCGTAACTGCTGGCAAGCGCTTCAAATTCTTCCAAGTTTCCCACAACATCAGGGACTGTGTAGAAGTTTCTCCCTTCATCTGAAAGTATTGAGGTAAAGCTTGCTTGCACTTTGAGGTTGTTCATTTCTTAGGCATTTTGCTTTAGTTAAGTTTCCACTCTAATCAAACACTCATTTTACACACGTACAACATTAATAGTTACCAGATTACACTTACTGTTGTCAATCACAATGCAAAAAAAGCTTGGATTGGATGTGTTCACCACCTCAGGGGCATTCTCAGTGTACATTACCGTTGAACGAAAACAAACTTGCTCATCAATGCTACAGTAATACGAAAACAAATATTCAGAGTTTAACAAAACTAAAGGTACACTGTACATGTATTACTCAAGTTCATCAAGAAAACATTCATTTCATTCACATATAAACAAATAACATGGCATCTGTTTTCTGTCATCACTGAATCATGATTCGTATCCTGTCAAATTCACTGTCATTGGCGCATTTCATGGCCCTGAGTTTGTGGACTAGATTATTGTAAACAAGGAGGACCAAATCTACCAGCAGGACTGCCAGCAGGACTGCAAGCAGGACTGCCAGCTGGACTGCCAGCTGGACTGCCAGCAGGACTGCCAGCTGG